TTCAGAAATAAGGTCCCATGGGTAGATGGGCGGGACTTCGCCTCTCTATTAGTCCTGCTAACTAGTCAGTGGAGGTCTGTATTTTCGACCATCAAGCTGCTGCTGAAAATCTATAATACATTGTTATCTACAGATGTATGTGTCAGAGCGTTTATCTTAAGTAAATAACTTTACACACATGTAGTGTGTTGCCAAATCACATCTTTTAGCTGATTGTTTTGGTATTTAGAATTCTGTTCTTATCAACCCTTCTTTCCAGCAATGCTAAGAATCTGCCCAGCAGAAAGCAGCAGAGCAGTTAGCAGATGGTTAGCCCAACATCCACCAGCTGAACGGTCAGATAGTGGGGGATGGTGGAGATGGATACATGTTTAGCAAGAGCGCTGACAAAACGTGTTTATTTTTTCCCTGAAAGCCATTGTTAGTGAACAAGCAGTCAGGCAACAGGACACAGGAGTTGTTTAAAGAAACCTTTTTTTTGTATTACCCCAAAAAACATTTAAAGCAAGAATATCTATAAAAGGCCTATAAAAGAGATCAAGAGAAAATACTCTAATAAATAACAGCAACTTAACAGGTGTTAACTGAACAAACCGACCTGCCACAATGACAAAACAAGGAACATATATAGTGGCTTGGTCCTTGCCAAGGTAATTAAGATGAGCAGAATACAAAGGACCAATCCCCCTTTGACATGGAAGCATGGGGTTTGTCCCAGTTTGACCCAAATAGCTGCTTGCATTGTTTATCCGTCCTCAGCCCTCAGTCACGTCTTTTGCTGAACCAGGAAGTACTTGTGTTAGCTGTGCTAAAATGTTTGAAAATAAACTAAATAATGTCAGGTTACAAGCAAATAAAATCTCCTGGAGGTGAGGGTTGGGTGACCAGGACAGCATCTTTATCATTTGTCCCACACATTGAGCTTATGTCCCGCATTGAATGAACAGTCGCCAGCCTAAAACTGGGCTTTTATCCAATGGCTGTTTAGAAAGAAGAGAGGGCCATCACCATTAGCTGTGACATTTCCCTCATTGTCCCGCACAAACGTACTGTTAGTCCCCCATGTGTCTTGTTGGCACCTGGTCCCCCTAGGTGAGAGTGCAGTGTAATCATTTACCCCTGTGTGGCTGAGGCCATCACAGCCATCCTAAGGACTGAATGGTACACGGTGTTTTTACTTTTGAGGAAAGTCCAGAAGAGGCTCGCAGGCCGAGCTGCTGTGAAGTGTGGCTCGACTGACTGGGGAGGCTGCTCGGTGTGTCAGTAAATATCGTCTTTGTGCGTGCCAGGAGTTCCTGTTTGATGGTAAATACCTGCTCTGTGTGGGCCCAAACCAAACAGTGTTTGGGATGTAGCTGCTGGCCCGAACTCCTCCAGAACTGTGGCTGCAGTGTGTAGTGGTCGCTTGTTCCCAGAGTGCAGTCTCTGTGTGTGTTCCAGTGTGTGAGAGGAGACATGGAGCAGTGTGTCTGCGGGCTAAGTGTGGAAGGTTTCTTCAGGGAACACGTGTTGAAGAAGACGTGCTGGCTGTAAGGCTGTTTTGACATAACACACTCATATACTATAAATCTCTCATTTTATGTCCTGGTGATAATATATTCACAAAGAGAGGCACTTTCATGGTCCTGCTTGCAGAGAGGATCACTGCTCTCATAGTGTTCTTGTAGTTACAGATTAGATTCAATTCAACTTTATTGTCATTGCACGGAGTACAAGTACGAAATGCAGTTAGCGTCTAACCAGAAGTGCAAAACAAGCAGAAAGTGCAGTTATTCAAGTATATATCTATATATATACTGTATAAAAATACATGTGACGGATATAAACAAACTGATGTGTTTACACTACAAACAGTATAAGGAGGTATACATATTATTAACAGCAGTATATAAATTGATTACACTATAGATCAGGAGTGGCCGCATGGAGCTCTTTGCCGAGTCTCATGCGGCTCCTCAGTTCATATCGAATTGTAATTGTTTATTTTGTTTTTTTTGCGCATATGTATCCCAGTTCACAAAGGGTTAACGACACACAGGTTCCAGCCCAATCGTTACAGAGTTTCCAACAAAGAAGTGCTTTAGCCAATCAGAATGCAGATCCTGCAGTACTGGAGGCGGGCTTTACTGCACTCGCGATGTGACAGTGAAGGGAGAGATCTGCTTCCGATCGGCAGAAATATAACTCAGATAAACCGTAATAACTCAATATAATGTTATCAAATCAAAACGGTAACAATTTGCAGTTGTATATGTGTATGTGAGAAGGCCTGCTCCCGGACAGCTGGCTACTGGCACAGAAGGACTCCCGAAGTTGGTGATTCGCGGTAAAGAAATAAACAAGAGAGAAGTGCATCTCTGTCAGCAGAGCTTCTGTCAGTCAGAGGGTTAGGTACAAGTTGAGATGTCATGTGAGGACAATTAAACAAAAATACACTTCATTGATTTACATTTATTTTTAAATAACTGTCATGAATCTGTGTGTGAGATACAGACAGGGAGAAAAAAGTCCAGGCATATTTTATTAAATTATTAACAAAAATCGCAAATGTGCCCTTTCATGCATTTGAGCCCCTTCCACATCCTCTGCACGTTTCAAAGAAGCAACATGCATAGAAAGATAACTACTTTTTCAAATGTTTTGAACTGAGAGTTTGTGTGAGACACAATATTGATGATTGACAATAACTGGCCTCTCGTCTTAATACTGGTAGGAGAGGTGTAAGTCCATTTCTGTCAATATCAAAATCTATCGAAATCTGGCTGAGCAGAGGTGTGTGTGTCTGTGTGTGAGAAGGTGTGTGTGTCTATGGGAGCGTGTGTCTTTGTGTGTGTGGTGTGTGTGTGTGTGTGTGTGTGTCAATTATTGTAAATTTTTTCATTTTTTTGAGAGATAGAGAGGGGCACATAGAGAAGAGAGTGAGGGAGCTCACAGAAAGGCAGAGAGAGAGAGAAAGAGAGAGAGAGAGAGAGAGAGAGAGAGAGAGGAGAGAGAGAGAGAGAGAGAGAGAGAGAGAGAGAGAGAGAGAGAGATACACCCAGCATGTGTGTATGATGTGGCTCTTTGCAGTAACACAGTATGATTGGCTCTTTACCTCTGACTGGTTGGCCAGCCCTGCTCTAGATCATCAGAAAGAAATCAGAATCAGAAACAGGTTTATTGCCAGATAGGTTCGCACATACTAGGAATTTTAACTTGATGTCATGGTGCATATAACATATAAAAAAACAAGAAATCTAAATAAAACAAAAAATATTTTACACCGTAATAAAATATAGTTAAATAGCAATAAAAATACAAATAAAGCAGTAAATCATGTATATAAATATACAGTATAATACAGACACTATCCACAGAGTCAATATGAATATACCATAGACCGTTATTGACATTTTATATTATAAGCTTACACATCTTCCGGCGCAAACTGAAAACTCATCTCTTTCGACTCCACTTCGAGCGATAGAACTATTAACAAAGCACTTTTATACTAATAAAGGACTGGCTTATCTAAAGCCAGTTGAGTAACTTGAAATGTTTGGCTCTATGAAACCTGATGTACTTATATGATTCTGTTTTCTTCAAGGTTGTGTCTTCCTGGTCGAATGTACTTATTGTAAGTCGCTTTGGATAAAAGCGTCAGCTAAATGCAATGTAATGTGTAATGTAATATGAGGTCACTCATCAAATTCAGTCAGTCACGTGGACACAATATATAGATGTGAGAATATCTAATGTTGTGTTCCATTCCTTTTTCTACTGGCCATGTGCACTTACACATTACTGTACTCTCCTAAATTGTTCTCAAATTTGGCTCATCAGTACTTCTCCTACAAAGTTGCCACACAAATACAGTATGGTCCATCAATCATTGATAGAAGCTGGAGCGACACACGTTCTGTTCTGCTGTCTCTTCTGGAAGGAGCAGACAGAAGTGATTCCCTCGGCATCGCACTCGCTCAAAGTTGAAATGATTTCATCTTTGACCTCCATTGCAAGCTGACCTTCTAAAGAAAAAACAATGATATAAGAGCTATTCGAAAGGGCAGGGTAGGTAACCATAGCAACAAAACGAACTAGGTGTGCTTACCGTGAAGCTCTGCGCAAAACCTTGTTGAGCAAAAGCAAGTCTCTGTCACGTAGCGCAGCTATTCTCACACAAACAGAGCGCTGCTGCCAAATGGGGCCGCCTTTCTGACCGTATCTGGGTTATGGCAGCATCAAAACATGAAAGGAGATATTTCAGGTGTAATCCAGAAACAACATCTCCTGAAATGTACATTTCAGCCAATTATTTTCAATATGTATTATACAAGGTAACTCGCATATAGAACTTCAAATACTATAATAGTGGACAGCAATCTGACACCAGTGTGTATTACACACTTCAGAAACAATGGGATTTAAAGCTATGATTTACCTATGTTTACATATATAATGATGTGGTCATTTAAAGATGTGAATCTGTTCATCACAGGTCTGCTCTCCCCATGGTTTATCAGAATTCCTTTTGAGTCCCACAGCGGGGAACTTTACAAAGTCACTTGTGGCATAACAGGTAAAGAAGAAGTATGCAATAATACAAAAGAAAAGCAGACATTAGTAATACAATTTAAAATAAAGACAATTATGTACACAACCATGGCTAAAACATGAGTAACAGCACATTAAGTAAAACTAAGTGACATATAAAAAGCATATTAAAGTATTGCAACCTTAAAATAAAAGAGTTTTGGGACATTTATGAAAAGATGTATTTTGTGATTATAGTACAATTGCACTTAGTTTATATTGCACATTGCAGGTTTATTGCACACGAGTGCACAGTCTGTATTGACTGTGGACAAATGAATACTGAGATGAACTATGGTATAGTTTGGTAAACGGCTGTCAGCTCAGCTCAGTGTGCTCGGTTCAGTTTACGGCTCAAACCAAACATGTTGGTGCAGCCCTTCAAACAGATGAGGGTCGGGGGCTCACACTGTGTTCCTGTGTTGCAGGCTACCTGCAGGAGGCCTACCTGTGGACCAAGCAGGTGCTGTCCATCATGGAGAAGTCCATGGTGCTGCTGCAGGACGTGACGGACGGCTCCCTGTATGAGGGCGTGGCCTACGGGACCTACACCACCCGCTCCCTGTTCCAGTACATGTTCCTGGTGCAGCGCCACTTCTCCATCAGCCACTTCGACCACCCCTGGCTGCTGCAGCACTTCGCCTTCCTGTACCGAACCGTCCTGCCAGGTAAACGTCCCATCATTTCACTTCATGTCATTGTTGTTATTTCAACTCATACTATTACTACAGGTTTGTTCTTATTTTTCCTTATTTTATATTTATTCTTATTATGTGTTCTATCTGTGTTTCTATCGTATTCTGTTGCTGCTATGACGCCTGAATATCCCTAGGAGGAAGGTCCATCTTATCTTACTCTGAAACAACTGAAACGTTGACTTTAATTAAATGTATTATGTCAACAGATTTCACATAACTGTATTAGGTTAGTTGAAAGCAATGATATGAATTTGAACCTAATATTTTTATTCAAACTTAAAGGGGGGTAGGTAATTTTAGAGGAACCAGCTCGAGTGCGCTAGAATTTGAAAATACACAGATGGAAAAAAATCTGCCACTTCCTTACAGAGCCCCTCCTCCAACACACACGAACGCGCACATGACCAATGAGGGCACGAGATAAGTTTGTGCACAGATGGAAGGCTGACAGGCAGGTAGGCCATCCAGTTACTTTAGCCGGGCCGGCTCAGATGATTGGTCGTGCTTTTTTTAACAGCGCCACGGCTTCCACAGATGAGATATTTTATGGATTTTTGTCAAAGCACTTCAGATATTCATTGCTATCGGGATGTTAAGAGCATTCCATGGAATATAACAACAAGTGTATCTCGAGCCGGTTTCTCAAACTTACCTACCCCACCTTTAATATTACTGCTTTCAACTAACCATATACAGTTATGTGCAGTGGCGGCTCCAGAGTATTTTTGTTGGGTAATCTATGGTAGGGCTAACCCATACAGTGGTGGGGCTCAAATCAGTATTTACAATGTAATTACATACACGCTATATCGCCGCCTTGACAGTGAAACGCCACGAGATTATTTCCCTGTCTCAATCAAAATGGAACTGTATGAAATAAAACGGCATTTAACATTTATGAAACTATTAATGTGTAGCACCAGATTAACGGGAAGAATCTCAGCTAACTGAAGATATGAACCATTTTTACCAAAACAAAACACAAGGGTAATACCAAGCCTCTGAATTGGCACTAAGCGAAAAAATGCTAACGCACTTTAGCACAGAATTCAAAATAAAGATACCCTTATTACTTATCGAAACTGCACATACAATATATCCGATTAAAGCTGAGACTCCACAGATTATTTAAGTATCATCACTAAGCGATCCGATCTCGTGACAGGGGAAGCAAACACAGACATCACAACACGTACCTTTTACGGAGCTTTACGGAGTCGTCTCACCGTAGCTGTCGATCTGATCAAAAGACGTGTTCAATGGCATATTAAAACGAGAAAAAAACGGGGCTGAATCGGTTGATCCATAGGTGATAATGTTTCTGTGGCTTTGAAGCAATTGTTTATAATCCATAATTCAATTTTTATGTAAAAATCGGGGCACAAAAGTTAGCTGCTAATGGTAGCACCAAGAGTGTATGCCGCTTCCGGTTTTGGCTACGCGTCAGTCTCACTCCTTATTTGTTCATGTGTTGGTGTGTGTAGAACTTCCCCTCGATTCCATTGGCTTCTAGCGGTTATAAAGAGATTTCATTCGTCAAAATTGACCAAGGGGGGACAGAGATATGGAAAAATCCACCCAAATGGCCCCAGACGTGTTTTTGTTGCTAATCTCTCTAAAAGGTTAAAATGTAACTTGTTTTGCATCAATCTTGATACAGGGTACTTATTATATGTTGTACTTTGGATTCCTAAAGCTTTTAGTCTACTAACCATCATCCAAGGTAGTTTTCACTATAAGTAAAAAAAGAATTTTCGAATCCTTCATCCGGTTAAATATAGTTAAAAAACGCATATATATCTGCAGGGGGAAAAAATCGCAATGTCGTTTTTTCAATATCGTGCAGCCCTAGTGCTTACTTTAACATCATTTTTCATGGTGGGGCTAAGACGTTTCTTGTATGGCTGTAGCCTACCCCAGCCATACCCTGGCACCGCCACTGGTTATGTGTAATCTGTTGACATAAAACATTGCATTAAAGTCAACATTTCCGTTTTTATAGTGTATCTTATTTTATCATGCAAACGTCCTTGCGTATATGAAAGCGTGTGTTCAGTGTCCAGCCACGCTCACAGGGATGCTGCTCCAGAGTTTCTGTTTACGATTGTTTATCCTGACAAATGATTGACTGTGATTACATGCTGAAGTTCTATAGCTGGTTTCTAAGAACCCTCTCAGCAGCAGAGTGAGATAACTAACATAATTACAGACAACAAATCAGTGCCAACAATCTGTGCTGGGCTGTGGACTGAGCCGGGTCACAGCAGAGGGGGCTGAGGGTTCACTGCTGGGGAGCATCTTTGTAACATATCCGTGACTTCAGGGAAAATTCTTTGTGCTGAGCTCTGTGTGGTAGTTTGTTGGAATTGGCAAAGATTGCACACATTCATCACACAGTCATCTCTTCCTGTCTTGTCTGCAATGCACATTTCAGCATCAGTCATACATGAGCATTTTATTTGTCTTTTGTCCACCAATAAAGTTTCCACTGTGTTTTCACCAGGATTTCAGCGGACGGTGGCCATTGCAGATTCTACACTACAACTGGTTCTACGGGCCAGAGAGCCAGCTGGTCTTCTTGGACCGCTATGTGTTGCGTAACGGCAGTGGAAACTGGCTGGCAGATCTGATCCATCGAAACAGGGTGATGGAGGGGCCGGGGCAGGCGGGGAAAGGCCAGCGATGGTGTACCCTCCACACAGGAGTTCATCTGGTGAGACGCTCCACTTGGTTTCATTCAAGGAAATACAATTTTTATCTTCAGAATCAGAATTCCTTTATTTGTCCCGCAATGGGGAAATGTACGGTATTACAACAGCAAGAGTATAGTAGCAGATTCATTAGAGTAGACTTACACATTACATAAAGAGAGAGTAGAAAGAATCCGAAAAAAATCTGAATCAGAAACAGGTTTATGGCCAAGTATAGTAAAGAAATTAAGTAGCAGTATATTTTAAAAGACCATATACAAATGTAGAAGTAGCTGGTACTATTTACAGATTGAAAAATAATTGAAATTAATATTAAGCGTAAATTGCAATGGAGTGTATATTGAGTTGATATTACTCAAAGTGTTACGTTTACAGGCAGAGTTATTGCACATCAGAGGTATAACAGTGGGGAAATGCACTCAAAAAACTACTCTATTGGCCCAATTGGGGTTAGGGTTCTTGTATTTTGAGAGAAATATCAACTACAATGTATGTACAGCAGCGTTCCGCCAGGGGGGCGTCTTGCCGTCATTTGACGCCCTTATTCAGCTCGGGATTGCCCTGAACTTGAGCCGAGGGCGTCCAAAAAATTAATAATTTGAGAGAAGATCGAGAGTTTTTATCGCTTGAAATAACAAAAAGGAGCCATTTGGGAGTCGAAACAGCCGGCGCTTTAAGAGAGCGAGAGCCAAATGATCCGGCTCACTAACGTAAAAAGACAGTATCTATAAGGAGACGGCTCAAGTCCCTTATAGATACCCGCTCTCGGGGTGGACGCCCTCTACGCCCTCTCAGCCCTGGTCTGGCGGAAAAACTGATGTACAGTATTCAAACCTCTCACTGTCAGTGGCTTTTGATTGATGTCTTTATTGGTACTTCACCCCTCTGACATCCGTCCTCTCTTGTAATTGCAGGTATGATTCCAGGACTGTTTCCGAAGCCTCCATCAGATTTCGGAACATCTCAACTTCACCCTTTGAGGACTGGGGGGTGGTGACGTATGGCAGCGCTCTACCTGCAGACACCAACCGCACCTTCTGTCCTTCAAGGCGTGGGAAGCTGGGGGGGCGGGCCAGTCTCGACATCGTTCACAAGAACAAGTACAAAGGAGTGGATCAAAGGGTGGAGGAACTTAACGCTGGCCACGAGCACCCTGATCAGAACACTTTCACCTTTGTGCCCAACGGGGTCCCGTTCATCACAGAGGCTCTGTATGGACCCAAGTACACTCTGCTGAACAACGCGCATCTTGTTCAGCTCTGCTATCCCAGGGAGCTGCTTCAAGCCGTGGGCTGGACAGGTGACAGAGGCTTGCGACTCCAAGTGGTTGAAGTTACAAGGTTGGGGGCTTGGCGGCGGATGCCCAGGGCAGAGTGGAGGCTGCCATGGAGAGGCAGGGCATGGTCTTCATCCGAGGGGAGGGACATTCCTCTTACAGTCCCGAGCTGAAGATCAGGAGCTTCCAGAGGAACCTGCTCCTTCTCCACCCACAGCTCCTGCTCCTGGTGGACCACATCCACCTGGACCCGGATAGCCCCACCAGGGCGATGAGTGCCTTCTTCCACAACACGGAGCTGCCATTCCAGAGTACCAAGATAGATGGTGTTCATGGAGCTTTCGTATCCCACGGGGAGGATAACTACAAGATGTTCTGGATGGATGACACCGGCTACAGTAACAAAGGGGTGGTGGGTTACTGGAACTACCCTCGAGGCTACCCGTACAATGGCTCCAACTATGTGAACGTCACTATGCCATTGAGGTACCCTCACACTAGGGTTGCCTACATTTTCTATGGACCAGGCGTGGATGTACAGAGCTTCAGCCTGCGTGGCGATGACCAGAGGGTGGACATCTACCTGTCCACCAAGGAGCACACCTACACCAGTCTACCTGCTGACCGGAGAGGTCCCCAGCAAGCCCCTGTTCGCCATGGTTGCTGGTGCCGACCCACAAGAAGATCCGTCTTCGAGAAGTCGTGCGGCGGCTGAGGAGGACAGCCTCCCCTGAGGAAGTGGAGGAATACGTTCAACGTGGTGGAGGACCAACCTTACAAGCACGTCAAGCCCGTCTTCCAGCAGATGGAGAGACACATCCTGGGACGGGTTCTCAACACCGCCAGCTTCAGAAAGACTGCAGAGCGCCTGCCTCCAGTTCTCAGACAAGAAGAAGACGGAGGAGGTCATAGAGAAGATGTTTGCTATGTCCAAGAACAGGGCAGGGTGAAAGGGGGGAGGAAAGTGAACCTTGGGGAGAAGCTGTCTGAGACTCTACCTGACATTTTCGCACAGGTTGAGGTGAATGAGAAGAAGGTGAGACAGAGGACTTCAAAGCGTACATATGAGGACAGTCCAGAGGAGGGGGAGGGCGACTCGCGGGCCTTTATGGATTATACCGACGGTCGCAAAAACAGAAAGGGGGCTTTTGTCAAGGGCCGCAAATTTAAGGAGGTTCACATGGTGGCCACGGAGGGGGAGCGAGGGTCTCTCCAGCACCGCCTCCTACATCCGCCTCTTCCTCCTGCTGAACACGGCCACCTTCTTCCTGCTGCTGGCCGTGCTGCTGACTCGCTTCCAGAGGGGGCGCAGTCTGCACACGCAGAGATGTTTCTACACGATCCTTCTGATCGACTGCTTCATCCTGCTGTACCTCTACTCCTCCTGCTCTCACTCACAGTGTTAATACACCACAGACCAATGACCCCAGGCGGCCCCCCACACCCAGTCTGAGGCAGATTTTAGAACACAAAAGGATAGTTGTCAGCATAGTGAACCTGGAAATGTTGAGGGACCCAAAGTTTTATGTTAGAAATGTATAGTAGGGGTCCCAGCACATAGAAACTGCCGGATGCTCACCTGCATATGTTCCAAATCAGAAACGGCTTATTGCCAGGTAGGTTCACACGTACGAGAAATGTGACTATTTGCACCATTAGCATAAATAGCATTAATTAGCACATGCAGACAAAAGCAACAATTATTTTGTTCTTTTAAATGGCAGTTTTGAGTCCCCTAAAACTTTAAAATGGGCCCAAAATTCATCAAAATCAGCCCACCCGGAGTACAGTTATTGCCACTTTCTGGTTAAAACTGCAATATTTGATCCTGAAAATGTCAGAAATGGATTCAACATCCTCAATAACCTCCAAAACCACTCAAACTGTCCTAGTCGGCCACCTGTGTTTATAACTTGTGTCTGCATAATATGCTAATGAACACAACTTGTGTAAATGCGTGTCTATGCTATGAGCGAACAGACGACAATAAAACATATCTGAGATTTCAAGAAAGATTCTGATAATGAAAATATTTTCTATTAAAAAAGTATTGTACGAATAAAGTTGTAATTTTACAATAAAAAAGTCCCAATGTTTGAAAGATAGCATTATAAGATGATCCTTGAAACCCTTATCTCTTTGATCATAGTCACAGGCAGGATGTCCGCTGCTACTCTTGGAACGAGTGAAGTATAGCTTCTATCTACGAGGACAGAGACTAAACCATGACATCATGTCTTATCTCATATGAGACTTTCTCTGGGATTAGGACTATTCTCTTTATATTATGCTTTTTATTCTCATCACATCATGGCTTTTATTCTCTTCACATTATGATTATTATACTTTATACTATAATGCTTTTTGTTTCTCAATATGATTCTTCTTTGTAGCTTTCTATACTTTAAACAAAATGTTATTATGTCTTTTGCTATCATCATATTTTCTTTCTAGAATTTACAACTTTATTTTCCAAATAATAGTGAATTATATATATAATTAATATTTTGTATATAGCCTTAAAATCACAAATGAGCTTCATTGGGCTTAATTTGTATACAAGTATTTAATTTGTGTAAATTGTAATGTATAACATTTGAACTGTTCAAACTGTTTCTAAAATGAGGACGGCTTTATTCTCATCACATCCTCAGCTTTCCCCCGGAGTTATTCTTGAAATCTCAGATGTGTTTGTTTATGGTTGAAAAGTGGTAAGATCTACCTCACGGGTATTCAGGAGAAACAGCTGATTCCAAATCAGAATTGATGAACACCGGGATGAGACCAGACCTCCTCTGATGTAAAAGCTTCTGTGGAGCTTCAGAACGAGTGTGTGTGAAGTGTGTGTGTGTGTGTGTGTGTCCGGTCTGTATCAAAGGTTAGCCACTATGATGCAGGCGCCCCATGTCCTGACGACATAGTTCATAGGAAAGCATTGAAATGTATATATGTGAAAGCAAGATATATTTTTATGGTGTTTTTTTACCATTTGTAAATAAAATTACCAAATGCATTCATTGTGTTTTGTGTCTAGTGAATGTGTGAACTCTGAAATGTTAGTTAAATATACAATATGTATTGAAGGGGCAAAGAGAGCTCCAAAGTGCAGCTCAGACAAACACATCATGAAAAGACCCCCACCCCGGACACAGAACAGTTAGAAATCAGAATAAGTGCAAGTCCAGCAGAACTCATGGAGGATACACTTATCTTCATTATTCAAGCTTTTTCAGAGAAACTCAAAAAGGAAGCTTCAGTGTCAGTGTCCTGGTTCCTGCTGGCTCACGGCCCCGCCTACAGTACATACATGATTACACTTAGTTCAGACACTGAACAAAACGGAACATGACTTTAATGAAATGTATTATGTCAACAAATTACAGCCTGCTCTAATGGGTCAACAAGTGACTTTTGAACTTTGGGCTTTCCTCATCAACAGAATCATTTGGGGTTCTTGTAAGTGTCATGTCATCAGGAATACACTACAGTGTGTGTTCATGGTGACGAAGACACATGCCACTTTAGTTCTTAATAACAATGGAGCTCTATAGCAAAAAAGAAAGATGATAATCAGGCAGTCATAAAAACACAATGGAATTTGGATATCAGAAGGCTTTTCCTTTCAAGTTATAACGTGTTAAGGTCTCCTGGGCACCATACTAAATATGTGCAAGGTACACAGTAAAGGAAAACAACGTCCAATCATCAGTGTTTCAGTACCTATACTGGATGATATTAGTGTTTCATATTTATAAATATACTTTTTGATGGGTAAATACTTAATCAATCTTCCGGCAAAATCAGTGCAGCATTATAAAAACTGTCCAGATGTAGAGACGGTTTTCAGACAGGTTCAGATTCACCAAGCACGTGTTATATAAGGGATTTGTGAACATTGGAAGCTTGTAATTATTTAATGATGACACAGTATTTTGCAAACTCTGCAAGCCATCACAGTGGACACAGCCTGCCTCTGAGCTGTCGTACTGACTGATGCATCCTCACAATAACCAAAAGCACTGCCATGCAAAGCACCTATCAGGCATCAGTGCTGTATTTTATCATTAATGGAATACATTTATTTCACAACCCTTTTTTGTTGAAAAAGGAATTCTGTGTACCAGTGATCTGTGTTGTTGCTCAGTGCTCTGAGTGTGGGATCCTCATTGGCTGAGGGCTTGCATATGTTGTGACTTCAGCAGATCCTAACTGGGGAGTTACACAGTTAGTGAGAGGAATGAAAAGAATGTCTTTCCATTCCTCTCCTCACAAAAATACTGTGGGTTATTTTGTTTTGATTGAGCTGATAATCACTTCCAGATGTGTACCCCCCCCCCCCCCCCCCCCCCCCCTTATATAAAGTGACCTCTGCTGTCTGGCCTGGTCAGGACACATGGGGGATGGGAGTGATGTGTGATTTAGTTCATGTTCAAAAGGCAGAGGTTCGCTATGTATTTGAGTCCAGCTCTGATAGACCATGAACAAACTCAGAATGAGGCAAACTATTTTATGAGGCCATTTTGAATGTCAGGATACAACATGCTGCCATCTGCTGGTCGGTCCACTGCTCATATGTGCGTTACACTCATAATAATTATATATTATTACAACATAGATCAGGGATTACATTTCTAAATTTAAACTAGTACTTTTTAGGTATTTTTTTCAAATCCTCAATAAAATACATGTCCTTTTTTTAAACAAATGTAAACACTGTAACAGCTTTCCATTGTTTTATTCATGTGACATTGGTTAATTATTTTTGAAACATTCTCAGGTTATTATGTTTCTAGAATAGTTTACTCAAATTACAATTGTGAATGAATAAAGTTTTTAATTAAATGTTCTTGTTGGAGGACATTCCTAGGACGACATCAGTTTCAAACCTTTATTTATCCAGATAAATCCCATTGAGATCATTGAACTCTTTTACAAGGGAGACCTGCTCAAATAAATTATGTAAGTGTATTGCATCATTTTTATTTTGTAGCATTCCTGTATTTATTAGGGCAATTGACGGACAGACAGACAGACAGACAGACACACAGACAGACAGACAGACACACAGACAGACAGACAGACAGACAGACACACAGACAGACAGACAGACAGACAGACACACAGACACACACACACACACACACACACACACACACACACACACACACACACACACACACACACACACACACACACACACACACACACACACACACACACACACACACACCATTTTGTTATACTTCGTTAATAAACAATGGGCTCTTTCGTCCACTTGGTGTCGCTGCTTTTTCTCTGTTCGTATTTCCTTTTTTTTAACTGAACCTTCTTGCTCACCGTCGTCAGTTTGAATAAACTGTATTGCTAGCTGTGTTTCGTAACATGTCAAACATGGGGGCACGGGTTGCGCGTATGTTCCGAAATTTCAACCTGGAGAACCGTGTTCACCGAGAAATCTCCAAGGAGAAGCCGCGAGCAGCACCCCGCCACCAGGCCGACCTGTCGCGCTCCTCCGGCGGCTCTGAATGTGAGTGACGCTCCGCTGACAGGTCGCTTCTCCCACGGGACATGCCGGGAAACCAGCCTAAAGGCAGGGCAGCAGTCATTAAGCTCTGGAGGAAGGTTATGTAATCCTCTGTTGACGGCCTGTTGTTTTCTGTTTCAGCCGCGGAGACAGCGGAGTTGGTGAGCCAGAAGAACGCCCCGCTGCTGGGCCTCCTGCGCTCCGTGTATGTGGAGTCCAAGGACCCGGCAGCAGCAGAGGTCAGCCCGGGACACTCTCTGCTCTTCTGTGTGTCTGGGGAGGGAGGCTGCTTCAGTTGAATGCCCTCCATATATACCATTATAAGAATGTTTGATTATTAGAAGCTGAGGTAGAGAAGTACTCAGATTTTGTTATTCAGTAAAAGTGGAAGTACCAGAGTGTAGTAATACAACTTATAACAGAGTATTCCTTACAGGTAAAAGTCCTGCATTCAAATGTTACTCAAGTAAAAGTAGACAAGTATTAGCATCAACATATATTTAAAGTACCAACATTGAAAGTAGTCATTGTGCAGATTGGTCCATTTCAGAATAATATATATGATATGTTTTATAATGATTGATCATGAAAGTGTTCTCAAAGCTGGTAAAGGTGCAGCTAGTTTGAATGACTTTGTATACTGCAGGGTAGCTTGTGGATTTACTCCAGGTGGAACTAAAGTCTGATTTAAGACTGATTATATTTCACAGTAAAAGTGCACAATTTACTCCTGAATTGTAGTGGAGTAGAAGTACAAAGTATCATAAAATAGAAATGTACTTAGTTACTTCCCACCTCTGATTAGAAGATGCTATGGGCATTCTGCTTTATATGAGATTACGTCTTATATTGACATCTTATTATGTGTTGACTTTCTTTACATACATTTCAAATGCTTATGTTAAGCATCTTATCCTCATCTTATGTTATTTTTTCAATGTGTTTTTTAATTTGGACTTGCACCTCCATCTGTTAACATATGGGCTCAGTGCAGATTGTTATATGTGCTCGAATGTTCCTACTTTGTTAAAAAGGGAATCTCCCCTCCCCCCCACACACTGTATTTCAATCAGGAGAGACTTCATTTTGTTTAAAGAACATTTATTGACACATGTCATATGATAAATGTCAAGTCTTTGGTGATTAGACCCCGATCCTGAAATGTTATATCTAAAGGGGGAAATGCAGCCGTGAGTATATAGGGAACCCCCCGGGTTCTAGACTCTGGTGATGATGCTGAAGATCTGGATTTGATGAGGAGATGGGATGAAGAGGAGGTGTGATGAGGTCTTTGGATTAGCTCTCCTGGCACTGGATGTGATGAAAGGAGGTGGATGGGGAGGAGGTAGGGCTGCTCAATTAATCGTATTTTAATCGCAATTACGATTATGGCTTGCAACGATTACGAAAACAACGTAATCGAAATATAACGATTATTTATTTATTTATTTGTATTAGTTTTTCAGTTTAGTTATACTTAAAGTTCAGGATAATCAACTGTCACTGGATATGATGACAGGGGGTGGATGGGGGATAGGGCTGCACGGTATTGAAAAAAACTGACATCGTGGTTTTTCCCCCCCCTGCGGTATATATTGCGGTTTTTTTAACCTGTTAAACCCCAAAGTCCCGGCGGGTACTTTACTTTTTTTTTTTTCACGACAGTGTCTCAGGGGATCGTAATATTTAAGAACCTATTAATGTGTTATACCAGATTAACGGAAATAATCTCAGCTAACTGACGATACAAACCATTTTATACCAAAACAAAACACACGTCTCATAAGAAGCATGCTAACGCACTTTGGCACAGAACTCAAGATAAAAGTACCCTTATTATTACTTATCGTAGCTGCACTTACAAGATATCCGATTAAAGCTGAGGTTCCACAGATAATTTAGGTATATAGTATCATCACTCAGTGATCTGAACTCGGATAGGGGAAGCAAACACAGACATCACAACACGTACCTTTACGTAGCTTCGAGGGGAGATGTCTCACCGTATCTGTCAATCTGATCAAAAGACGTGTTCAATGGCATTAAAGCGAGAAAGAAAAAACGCGGCTGAATCGGTTAATCCATAGGTTTTTAACGTCTCTATAAAAAAAAATTATTTAATTTATAATCCATAATTCCATTTTTATGTAAATATCGCAGAGCAAAAGTTAGCTGCTAATGGTAGCCACCGGCTGCTGCTTCCGGTCTTGGCTATGCGGAAGTCTCACACACACATTACCAAATAAGGACTGTGTGATTTCCCCTCGATTCCATTGGCTCTGACGGTCAGAAAGAGATGTCACATGTCAAAATCCAGCAAGGTGGGCCAGAGATATGGAAAATCCACCCAAATGGCCCCAAAAGAGGTTTTTTGTTGTGCTAAATCTGTCTAAAAAGGTCAAATATCAGGGGAAGTTCTACACACACCAACACATGAACAAATAAGGAGTGAGAGTGACGACGCGTAGCCAAAACCGGAAGCTGCATACCACCAAGGTGGCTACCATTAGCAGCTAACTTTTGTGATCCGATTTTTACATACAAATGGAATTATGGATTATAAACAATTGCTTCAAAGCCACAGATACATTATCAACCTATGGATCAACCGATTCAGCCGCATTTTTTCTTTCTCGTTTTAATGCCATTGAACACGTCTTTTGATCAGATTGACAGCTACGGTGAGACGATCTCCCGTAAAAGCTCCGTAAAAAGTATGTGTTGTGATGTCTGTGTTTGCTTCCCCTGTTGCGAGATCGGATCGCTTAGATACTATACTTAAATAATCTGTGGAGTCTCAGCTTTAATCGGATATATTGTATGTGCAGTTTCGATAAGTAATAAGGGTATCTTTATTTTTGAATTCTGTGCTAAAGTGCGTTAGCATTTTTTTTAAAAATGAATAAAACCGCACGTCCCTGCGGTGTGAATACCGCGCATGCGCATACCGCGGTTATCGCCATGACACGGTATATCGTTCAGCCCTAATGGGGGAGGAGGTGGGCGGCAGCATGAACACCTGAAATCACAGCTGACTGCAGGAGAGAGGAGAACCATTTTAAAGTGGACCTATCATGCTATATTTGAAACATATATTGTAGGGCCATACCTATATAAATATAGTATTTTTTTAAAACACCAAACAGATCCTGCATTTTAGCCATACCTCATTTCGCTCTATTTGCTCTTTCCAGCCCTGCTTTTACAGGGGGCTGATTCTGTGAGCTGCAGCTGACCACGCCCCCCTGCAGGAGAGGGGAGTTGGCAGTTACTTTGGCATTAGGGCAGGGATATCTAAATACTTTCCAAGGTTTGACATAATGAATTGTGCTACTTTTAAAGCAAGCAACGATGTTTTCAAATCTGTAATCAAAAAGCTCCTCAAAAACGCTATCGAAGCAGTTCCTGCCGTTGCTACGTTGGTTCAAACGGTAACAACGAACTATTTTTCTTAGCGGATGCATGTCAATTTAAATCAATACAACTATTTTTTAAATCAATAAAATCATTTTCTAAATCCATAAAAGCATTTAAATTAATATTGGGAGTCATGTCGTTGCTTTGTTGAGAATGTGGCCATGTAATAAGCTGGATAATGTGCACATTGCATAATGTGCAGGGCTGCACATAACTGGTGCGCAGGTGCGCATGCGCACCTCCGCCAAAAAAAGAGCACCGGGTGATTTGAAAAAAGGCGCATTTGCGTACCAACATTGAGAGAGAAGAGAGAGAAAAAGATATTTGCGAGTTGCATATGAACTCAGGGCCGGCCCGTAGCAGTGGCGTTATAGATGTTCGCCTAGGGCGCCAGATCTGTGGAGGCGCTGCGCTGGCAGTTCTGGGAGGGAAAAAAACATTTTTGACCGTTGGGGCTCATCCTAATTTTCGGCCTTGATGTAACAACATTCATAATTAAGTAAATGTAACACCCTTTTCACCCCAGTTACACGTTTCATTTGCCATGTACGATGGGCGCTGTAAGTGATGGAAATGGGGGATGTTGGCTTATCTGGCGCCCGCAGCTCACAGCCAACGTGCGAGTGAGCGTGGGTGAGAGAGAAGGGCGCACCGCCTGGTACCGGCGCTGTTGTTATTAGAATCTGGTGCTAGCTGCTCTAACGGATGTAAGAAGAAGATGTTTCTACAATAATGTGGAGGGAGAGTCCTCTCCAGTCAGACCGAGAGGCTGATAACTACAGCTCAGTGAGGTAAAGGACTCTGAGTGTTTAGATAGTTCACTTTAGTCTAAGTTCAAACGTTTTGATCACAATTTATGCAAACACATATTTCCAAGGCACTCCTTTATAATTATGGGGATAAACAGGTTTGAAATCATTCCAATGTATACTATAGGACAGTAACCACAAATATCCTTTAAAACTGGAGAGCTAAAAAAAATATGCATAAATAAATAAATGTTAAGGTAAAATAAGATATGAATGAACAACACAAATAAAATAAGTTACATTCATTTGTTATTGGCTATGGTAGGTTATTGGTTATGTTCACATACTTATTTGATTACATCCACTTGTCTAAGATGACAACAGAGACTTTCGACCCAAAACCTGCTGTTGACTTGTGGATGCAAGCAGCTAATCGCAGACTCAACCAGAGAGGAAGTAGGAGGCCTACATCATCAGCTACCATGTCTGACAGAGAGGAAGACAGTGAGGAGAACAGTCAGGAGGGGAGTGATGACAGCTTGTAGGATTACTGGTCGTGCTAATGTTGTCTTGTGTTCACCTCTGCATGTGTGTTCTGTGTTCACCTCTGCATGTGTGTTCAGTGCCGTGTGTCTGGCAAATAAAGTCAAGACCCCCTCAAAAGTTACGGTTTATTTCACTTTAAGGATGAGCACCAAGCAACATCTCCAGGTGCTCCTTTGAGAACCAGGGCAAAAAAGTTATGTGCACCCCTGATCATGTGCCTTGATGCCGATCTAGATCCCTCCGCTTGGCGTCGGGCTCCTGATCAGCCTGTCGGTGTTCTTTTCCCCATAATGACCGCGTCGCTGCACATTATCCCTTACATATGATTATATAGTCATTATTCATTTGTTTTAAAGCAGGAGGCGCAAACGATTGCCTCGGGGAGGGAGAAAAAGAGCCACAGCGGAGAATAAACAGAAGGGCAACCATGCGCGGGAAGTCTTCTTCGCTGCTTTTGTGGCAGACTACAGCACCACTTACAGGCCTGGCATATGTACTACAGCGTCTCCAGCGCTTTCGAGCAGCAGTGGCCGGCCGTGGCCCAACCTCTCATTCCCCTGATAGCTGGATAATTGACCAATAGCCGTAGCGCCACCGTCCTGACGTCAGGACAGTGTTCAAATCTGGATCAGTCTGTATCAGATCCGTTGCAGCCCCTTTTTTAGAGATTTGGGTATGGAGGAAAAGAGAGAGGGTTGTGTTTTCTGACACTTGGTGAGTTCCCTGACACACCGGGGACACATATTCATGTATAAAAGATGTACAAGAGTGCATTTTACAGGATAGGTCCCTTTAAAGTTTGGCTGCAGCACAGTGATTGGCTACTGGAGAATGAGGTAATGGTTATAGACAACGCCTGTGATGAGCTGATTAGTTGCAGAGTGAATGTGTATATATAGGCCTACCCAGTCTTCCTGAAAGAACTTGCGCTGAGCTTCATATAATGGTTCCTACGAGAATAGTCTGCAGCCTGACACTGTGACTCCTGTCTATACAGGTGTTGCTTGCAAATAGTAAGTCAATTAGTGTGTACAAACAAAGGGTGGCGCGCAATACTGTTTTATTTGTATCTGAAAAAAGTGTCCCCACCACTTTGGAAACAAGTGTATGACATGACTTTGTTCATGTCATACAGGTAAAGTAGGAACACTCTTCTCCTTTTAGTTGTTTTAATGCTGTAAATATTCTAACCTGTAAAGCCAATTGTGCCATTATGATTACCCTTGTTGTTATTAGGCTTTATTGATAGAAATGAGCCTACGTTGTCATCTCTAGTCTGAACACCCCCGCAGCTCAGTCCCTCTCCACTCTGCACACAGCAACTGGCAGTCTTTATACATTCTATGGTTTCAAAGCAAGTGAAGGAGACACCTGCTGAAACACGCTTTACTGGTGACATGGTGTTACCAGTTCATTTGTATGCTAAACACAATGGTTACTTGCACACTGGATGACAGGATAGAACATATTTCCTTCATAACTGTTAGAATAAGTGGTGGGGACACTTTTTCGAACAAAACACTACGCATTATGCGCCACCGGAACAATACATACATAGTATAACTAGTGCAGTAACTATGCTACACTGCTGCAAAGCTGTTCTCTATTCAGTTATTACTAATATGAAACGTGTCGCAGGTCCAAACTGCACCACTTGTGTTACCAGTCCCCCAGATTGTACTTGTTCTCTTGTTCTCTTGTTCTTCAAAGTGTCTTTGTGCACGCTATTTTCATAACATTTGAAACAACTGATCCTAATGGAGAGTAGTGGGGACATGTCCCCAGCGTCCCCAGAATAAATGACGCCTATGCTTCCTTCACATATATCCTGTGCTGAAAACAGTTGTGTGCATGTAGACACAAGGAGGATTTAGAGAAAAAGTTGTGGGCAAGTAAACCAATGCAAAGAGCTGAAAGAAGGTCAAACATACAGAGATGGAATAATTCACTTGGAGCAGCTCACACATTACCCCCATTCTTTGACCCATTAGGAGCGTTCACACCAAGTACTTTTCCCACAGTTTCATGAGAACTCTTCAGTTCTCATGAACTAAGTACAGATCGCGTTCATACCGGAATAAGTCCCTGAGGGAGGATTACGCAAATGAAGCCACTGACGTCACTTCTTCTTCTTCTGCTTTGGGTTTACTGGCAGGCCGCAAACCACTTCACGGCGTATCGTGCCACCCGAAGACCCCGACCGGAAGTCCCCGGAGTTGGGGACTGGCTTCAGTAGAAGCTGCTGGGACTCCCAGCTGCTTCTACTGAACGGACGGAAAAGGGGGTAAAAAGGTTCTCATGAACACATTTGAGTTCTGGCTCTTTTTGGTGTGAACGCGACATTTCGGAACTATATCGGAACTAAAGTGGGAAAAGTACTGCGGTGTGAATGCGGCTAATGTTCATGTAAACATTGATTAGTAAGGCAGAGCTTGGCACAGTCTGTATTTAAACCGGGCCTGATGGTGTGGCTATAAAGGGACAGGAGCCAGGAGTACACCAGATGCTGCTCACAGGGAAATCTCTTCTCAGTCGAGGTGTATTTGCAAACCTCCTGTGCTTTCTCTTCTCACAGGCATCACAAGAGGTGAGCATGGAGACAGAAGGTGCGCGGCGGCCGCTCAGGTTCAGTGTGCCGGGGGGGCACTACGGCCTGGTGGAACTAACAGACGTTCCTAGAGGCAAGCTGACCATCGCTGAGACCCTGAAGGCCCTGGGCAGCCACCAGAGGCAGCCTCAGACCTGGACCCCGGGAAAGATTGCTCAGGAATATTCTCTGGACCTGAAGGACACAAAGGCTCTCCTGGAGTTCTTCATCCCCTTCCAGGTTCACATCATACCCCCCAAGACTCAGAGTGCCAAGCAAATAAAGGCTTCCTAAAACTGGATTGTAGGTGAAAGGAAGCTCATCTAAATCCCAGAGACTTCAGAGCATCTAACCCCCCCCCCCCCCCCCCCCCCCCCCCCCGTTAGGAGAGACGTCATCCTGTGCAAGACTGAACCTCAATGCTGTCCCTAACATGATACTCCTGCTGCACAGTTCAGAGGCCATGTGAGAGCTCATACATCCTGAGATTAGCTTCTCTTCAGCTGTGCACAGAAAGTATTGCATTTGTTCTTTGTTCCCAGCAGACATTTGGACCGTCAGAGCAGGAAAAGCATGGGTGTTACGGACAACATTTAAAAGGGCTGTTGTGTATTAGCGTGTTCCAGTAAGCTGTGACTGGTGCTTCTGAAGGGAAACCGGCCCTCACTGATCTTAGCATTTACTCCTGTGCTCTTCTGTCAACTGTCCAAATGTCCTCTGGGGAAAGGCTGGATTTCAAATGTTCTGCCCTGCTCATCACATCATGATCATCAGATTGAATAAAACATGTTTGGGTTTCAGTCAAATAAAAGCATATATAATGTCTATTCAAAGAAAACTTTATTTGAGTGGGATAATAAATGAATAATTGCAATATTAACCGTTGTAAGAAACATATTATGTCTAAGAGAAATGTTAATGTTGGCAACACAGATTGCATATTCCTTAAATATGATTTAAATTAAAACCACTGTTTTTGTAAAGTTCTGAATATTCGAAGTTATGTCACTATCCTACGGATATGTTATTCTGTTAAGATGCTGGGATTCTGCAAATGTTAAAACCGTGAAAATGTGTTTTTTGTAATGAATACATGCAGTGTTAAATCATAAGGCCTACTTTTGAATCATCAAGTCTGTTGTGGACCTGTCGAGATGCAATCCGGTTCAAAAGGACGAGCCCTGTCATTTACTTTCAATAAACCCTCGGTCAAGTGTCACCGGCCTCTCAGGAGCACATTGGGTCCTCCCCTAAGGTTTGGATCTCTATGAAACACGAGTCATGTGATGAGTCCGAACTAAGATGTGTTGCAGACTCCGAGGCCTAGTGGAGTGGTACATTGGATACACAAGCACTATAACCACTGCAGCTTGAACACATGTACAATGATGTTTTCTCGATATATTTTTGAATTCCAATTTTTCAAATGGGTCTTTAATTCACTGTGAAACAAATCGACTACCCTAATTGACCATTCGGGACAAAAATGTCCACTGTCAAAAAACTTTTATAAAAACATATTAAAATATAGAATATTTGTTACCCCTTTTTTGGGTTCAATCTTTAAAGCAACTTCAGCCCTAATCAAAAATACCAAATATGTAATAATTTTCAGGATTTTAACCCTTTAACTGCCAGTTTGAAAATATGATGTCGCGTTTTGAAAAACGTGCACAAAAAGGTTATTTTCCATATAATAAATGTTGGTGGATTTTTGTTTTTTATCACAGTCTTGGATATGTCAAAGATTAGCAACAACATTTATTTTGGTGCATTATTAGTTTTTGCACAGAATCAGATTAAACAAAAAACTCCCACATTAGTCATTCGGGACAACAATGTCCCATTCACTCCCATTATAACCGCCTCCTTTGATCTCTCCGCCATACCGGTATATAATCATGCATTTTGTGATGTCAGGGTTTTATTTTGGAGGAAAATTGTTCAATTTGTCCTTTTGACTGTATATCCAAATCAAATCATGTTTTATTTATATAGCACATTTAAAAATGATTTTTGGTCGAGCCAAAGTGCTGTACATGCAATAAAACCACTACTACAATAGCAAACATCCATCCATCCATCTTCTCCCGCTTATCCGTGGTCGGGTCGCGGAGGTAGCAGTTCCAGCAGAGAGCCCCAAACTTTCTTTTCCCTGGCGACATCAACCAGCTCTGACTCTCCCAAGGCGCTCCCAGGCCAGCGAAGAGATATAATCCCTCCACCTGGTCCTAGGTCTACCCCTCGGTCTCCTCCCAGCTGGACGTGCCTGGAACACCTCCCTAGGGAGGCGCCCAGGTGGCATCCTTACTAGGTGCCCGAACCACCTCAACTGGCTCCTTTCGACACGAAGGAGGAGCGGTTCAACTCCGAGTCCCTCCCAGATGACCGAACTTCTCACCTTATCCCTAAGGGAGACACCAGCCACCCTGCGGAGAAAACCCATCTCGGCCGCTTGTATCCGCGATCTCGTTCTTTCGGTCATGACCCATCCTTCATGACCATAGGTGAGGGTAGGAACGAAAATGGCCCGGTAGACAGAGAGCTTTGCCTTCTGGCTCAGCTCCCTTTTCGTCACAACGGTGCAGTAAAGCAACTGCAGTACCGCTCCCGCTGCTCCGATTCTCCGGCCCATCTCACGCTCCATTGTTCCCTCACTCGAAAACAAGACCCTGAGATACTTGAACTCCTTCACTTGGGGTAAGGACTCATTCCCTACTTGGAGTGGACAGTCCATCAGTTTCCTGCTGAGAACCATGGCCTCAGATTTGGAGGTGCTGATCCTCATCCCAGTCACTTCACACTCGGTTGCGAACCGATCCAGTGTGTGCTGAAGGTCGCAGACCGATGAAGCCATTATAACCACATCATCTGCAAAAAGCAGTGGTGCAATCCTTAGTCCACCGAACTGCAGACCCCCTCCCCCACGACTACGCCTCGAAATCCGATCCATGTATATTACAAACAGGATTGGTGGCAAAGCGCAGGCCTGGCGGAGGCCAACCCTCACCGGAAATCGGTCCGACTTATTGCCTAGGACCCGGACACAGCTCTCGCTTTGGGAGTACAGAGATTGGATGGCCCTGAGTAGAGACCCCCTCACCCCATACTCCCACAGCAGCTCCCACAGTAACTCCCTGGTAACTCGGTCATATGCCTTCTCCAAGTCTACAAAACACATGTAGACCGGATAAGCTTACTCCCAGGCCCCCTCCAGGATCCTTGCGAGAGTAAAAAGCTGATCCGTCCTTCCACGACCAGGACGGAATCCGCATTGTTCCTCCTCAATCTGAGGTTCGACAATCGGCCTGACCCTCCTTTCGAGTACCTTAGAGTAAACTTTCCCGGAGAGGCTGATTAGTGTGATGCCTCTGTAATTGGCACACACCCTCTGATCCCCCTTTTTGAAAAGGGGAACCACCACCCCGGTCTGCCACTCCTTCGGTACTGTTTCCGACTTCCACGCAACGTTGATGAGACGTGTCAACCATGACAGTCCCTCAACACCCAGAGCCTTCAGCATATCTGGGCGGATCTCATCCACCCCCGGGGCTTTGCCACTGTGGAGTTGTTTGACGACCTCAGTGACCTCCCCCCGGGAGATTGGTGTTGATCCCCCATCATACTCCAGCTCTGCCTCTAACATAGAGGGCGGAATTGTCGGGTTCAGGAGTTCCTCAAAGTCTTCCTTCCAACGCCCTAACACTCCATCAGTTGAGGTCAACAACGTCCCATCCTTACTGTACACAGCTTGGATGGTTCCCTGCTTCCCCCTCCTGAGGTGTCGGACAGTTTTCCAGAATAACTTTGGTGCCGCCCGAAAGTCCTTTTCCATGTCTTCTCCGAACTTCTCCCACACCCGCTGCTTTGCCTCAGCCATGGCTGAGGCTGCTGCCCTTCGGGCCTGTCGGTACCTTGCAACTGCCTCGGGAGTCCCCCGGGATAACAAATCCCTGAAGGCTTCCTTCTTCAGTCGGACGGCTTCCCTGATTACCGGTGTCCACCAGGAGGTTCGAGGGTTACCGCTCCTTGAGGCACCTAAGACCTTGAGACCACAGCTCCCCGCCGCGGCTTCGGCAATAGAAGCTTTGAACACCGACCACTCTGGTTCAATCTCCCCAACCTCCACAGGAATGCCCGAAAAGCTCCACCGGAGGTGTGAGTTGAAGGCCTCCTGAACTTGGGCCTCCTCCAGACGTTACCAGTTCACCCGAACTACACGTTTGGGCTTACCAGGTCTATCCAGAAGCTTCCCCCGCCACTTGACCCAACTCACCACCAGATGGTGATCAGTTGACAACTCCGCCCCTCTCTTTACCCGAGTGTCCAAAACATACGGCCTCAGGTCCGATGATACGATAACGAAATCGATCATGGACCTTCTGCCTAGGGTGCTCTGGTACCACGTACACTTATGAGCATCCTTATGTTCGAACATGGTGTTTGTTATGGCCAATCCATGACTAGCACAGAAGTCCAGTAACAAACCACCACTCTGGTTCAGATCAGGGGTGCCGTTCCTCCCAATCACGCCCCTCCAAGTGTCTCCATCATTGCCCACATGTGCGTTGAAGTCTCCCAGCAAGATTAAAGAGTCCCCTTCAGGAGCCCCATACAGGACTCTTTCCAGGGTCTCCAAGAAGGCCGTATACTCTGAACTGCTGTTTGGTGCATAAGCACACACAACAGTCAGAGTTTTCCCCCCCATAACCCACAGGTGTAAGGAGGCGACCCTCTCGTCCACTGGGGTAAACTCCAACAACGAAGCACCCAACCGGGGACTTGTGATTATCCCCACACCCGCCCGGCGCCTCACACCTTGAGCAACTCCGGAGAAGAATAGAGTCCAACCCCTATCCAGAAGTAAGGTTCCAGAGCCGACGCTGTGCGTAGAGGTGAGCCCAACCAGATCCAACTGGTAACGCTCCACCTCCCGCACAAGCTCCGGCTCCTTCCCTCCCAGAGAGGTGCCACCCTTCTGGCAGTGCACCCAAGCCCATCGCTGTTTCCCGTAGGTGGTGGGCCCGCGGGACGGAGAAGCGGAGGTGTTGCCCACGTTGCCTTTTCGGGCTGTGCCCGGCCAGGCTCCGTGGCAAGCCCGGCCACCAGACGCTCACCGACGAGTCCTCCTTCTGGGCCTGGCTCCAGAAGGGGACCCGGGCTTCCTCCGGGCCGGGCATCCTCACTTCCTGTGTCGTCTTTCATGAGGTCTTTTTAACAATAGCAAACAGAAGACAATAATTTACAACAGCTAATATAAAGATCAAACACAGGGAAATGTCAGGAGTCGTGCTCCGCTCTGATTAGAAGGCCAGAGAGAAGAAGTGAGTCTTTAGTGTCGATGTAAAAAACCTTAGGGTCTGGGCCGACCTCACATGGAGGGGCAGAGTGTTCCAGAGCCTAGGGCCAGCTGCTGCGAAGGCTCGGATGGGACATTGTCATTTTACCATTGAATGACATGCTTGTCATTTCTTGGTTTATGTGCCTGTTGTATAATGGGGCCCTGCCAGCCATTGGAATACATGTATGTAACTCATATGGTGTACGTGTGTTGGTGTGGATGTGGAAGATTGGTATCAGCTGAGAAATGTGTGTGTGATGACTAATTAGGGTAGTCCATTTGAATGATACCGGAGGGTTACATATCCCAACCACACTAAATGAAATGTCGATATCACCGAGCTCACTTTTGCAACAACAGACTCCATTTGTCATCTTTGCCACTCACCCATTTGCACCATGATTTGCCCCCACCACAAGCACTCACACGTGCCCAAAAAAGCAGTTCCTGCTGCTAGACTCCGCCCATTTGGACATTTCGTCCTTTCTATTGGCCCCCGCTGTGTGTAGGGGTGCAGCATGATGAGTCTGCTTGTGTCCCTGCCACTGGCTCCTCAGGGTGTCAGTTATCACTGAATACAGAGCTGCGTCCAGCTAACGAGCAGAGCACGGAGGCTGCCGGAAATCTGCTGTTATCCCTTCAAAATAAGCCAGTTAGCTGAAAGTAGTTAAACCGCTTATACTTTGTTATTTTTTCCAGTGTATTGAAAGATAAGCTATATGATAGATTGCTTGCACTGTTACACTGATCAGACGTAGACTATAATACATTCTCGCTACATTCTCTCTGAGATTCTCCTGTACTTTTACTAATGTATCCTTCAGCACCTCACCCTCCAAGTATTTTTTTCACTAATCAAACTGCAGAGATCATATTTACTTTTACTCATCCACAACAGTATTGTTCTGCATAATTACATTTACATTCAAATTGAATCAATTTCATGATGTGCCAAAATGTTCGGTAGGCTAATATGCCTTCTACCCAAGATATGACTTAACCTTCACTAACTGCTGTTCTTTTTTCTACTTGAAGTGTGTTATAACTCAAAGAAATGGGTCTACAGTTTTATTTGTATACACTGCTAGGATGGGTAAAAAGCAGAGAACACATTTCACTGTGTGTGTGCTGTGTGCATGAACATGTTTGACCAATAAAGAGGGTTTCATCCTCCAATTCTAGTCTAGTTTTATTTTGAAATTCCATACAGGAAGTGGTGTGTGTTTCCGCTCGCTGCCTTGCCACAGGTTGCCGAGAGACCGAGTGTAGTTTGTAACAGTGAGGTTATAATTTTGGCTACATGCAGAACACAGTCTGATACACTGTGCGACAGGAGGCTCTCCAATATCTCACATCTGTCGGGAGGACGGGGAGGGAGAAGAAGCCTAATATTTTCCTTGCGACATTTAACGTGGATAAGCATCGCGGTGTCTCGTGCTCCTCCACAAAGCGACAGGAACCAGATGCGGACTGGACTTTCTCTACGACTTCACTGGTAGTGCTCAGCGGCGGGCTCTCTGTGGGTTACACTGCACGGCTACAGGCCTCACGGAACATCTGGAGGAGCACCACCGGACCGCTGTGTGAAGGAGAACCGGCAGTGAGAGCAGGAGGAGCAGAGAGATGCACCGCCAGGAGGACTGAGCCTCCCCCGCCCGGATCATGGGAGAGCAAAGCAGGTAACCACCGGAAACCACAACAATATGGCAATGTTATTTTACCTAAATGTTGACCGTCGTAGAGCTCAGTTGGTAGAACTGGGGCTTGGACCCCGTGCGGATGACTAGGGTTCGAATCCGGCCTGGGGCCAATCGCCTGTCTCCCCCTTCAACACTGTCAATATTAAGGCACTGGTGGCCCAACAAAAATAATTAAGTATTACAAATGTTGGTTGAGTCCTGAATAGAAACCGTAGGTGTGGGCTGTGTGTCTGCTCTGCCGTCCACAGTGTGCCTCTTCCATTTTGGTGAGAACAACAGGAGGCTGAAGGATCTGAGGCTCTTATGGCAGCTGCATCAGGTGGACGCTGCTCTGAATGTGCTGTCTTTGTCACAGTGATTTTCCTAACATGAGTTCATTTTCCTTCAGAATATCATTACATCTGAGTCTCTCCTCGACACCACCCTGTGTTTAAAAAAATGGCTACCTGTGGTTAAAGTCAGAATAGTGCACTGATTTACATATTCTAACAATATTAACCTTAATACAGAAAACAAACAAAAGTAGGAATGTTGCAAACATTAAAACGTTGCATACATAAAAGATTACCTTACTATTTCTGAAGCAAAGACACCCTCAAAGCTTACATCAAAAATATATTTGAAACACCTAAATACCTACTCCTGGAATTGATATACTACTGAATACTAAATGTTGAATTTATATAATTTACAAAAAACTGCCTTTTGGACAAATGTGGTTTGAATTTCCCTCTTAGAATATTCCAGAAGGTTAGAGAGGTTCCCACATATTTGACACCTTGAGTGTGAAGGCCTTTTGATAAAATGTATGTATAAAGTCACTCAAATGTATGTATGTGTGCTTTATTATGGAGCTAAAATGTCAAATAATATAATGGGTTTTTTTCCAACAGCAAAAATCTAATCTTTAAAAACTACAAATTCAGTCATGTTTAAAATTAGTTAAACTTCAGTAGTTGTTAGGGCTGTCACAAAAAAAGAGCTGAACAAAACACCATTGATTTGACTATACCTCAACACACATAGTACAGTATATTGTAGCATTATTAATCAGTGTTTCACAAATGCATTTCTGTCAAGGATTCTATATAATGTTGGGATTGATTGATTTCTATTCTCTCATCTATTGGTCAGATCATAGGTCAAACAGTGAGACAGACTGCCAAATGGTCAGTGTTAAATAATACTGCCTAAAATAACAAAGCTACACTCTAATTGGTTGTTATTGCCATAAATGAGTACATTTGACCACCTTGTACACCTTTTAATGTCCTAAGTATGTCTTAGTGATTCCAGCAGACTACATGTGGCTGTGAGCATTTCCTCTCATTACGTTTCCCCGACAGTATTTGAGCTAGTTCCAATCGTTTACAATGCAAGTACCCGCTCAACCATTTTTACTGCTGGGTTACCTGATTGCTTGGAGCCTGGAGTGGCTATTTGCACCTCTCAGGTCCCTGCAGGCCTTATAGGGGTGGGGGGGCTGCAGATGTGAAGAGGGAGGCAGCTGCAGAGTGTGTTCAGCACTGTGATCCCCACGCCCTGTCCTTTAGATTAGGCATCTTCACAACTGTGTCTCAGGTCCTCAGGTGTGCAGTGAGAAATTGTCCAATTTCATTAAATCGGTCCAAAAACATATTATTTAGGTGCTCTAAATAAATCCAACATTGCCATGATCCCAATCTTGGTTAAAAGTCATCTTACGAAACACAAAAACGCAGACTATTTATTCTGCATGTGTTAACACTGACTGAGAAACGCGTCACTTGAATGAAATATCAACAAAGAGAGGGCTTTCAAAGCTAGCTACTGAGGAGCCAAATTCAGATACTTGTCATTAAATGTTCATTTTATTTATATATGCTCTCATAGGCTACAATGTGTCATTTAGTAACTTTTTGTTGCAGGATTTGAAAAAATGTAACATGGCTTAAACAAGGGTGAAAAACACGGCTTTATTGTAATGGTTTATTTGGCAGGGACAATGCACAGTGATGAACACTTAAAACATTACAATGTGTCAAGCGTAACAGTGCCAGATTTAGCTTTGAGCTCATTTCCATCCGCAGTCCCTCACATAAAACATTTATGAAAATTGCATTTGACAAACATAGCAAAAACTAAATGTAGATAATGTGTTGTTTGTGGATATGGGGGGGATGGAGAAGGTGAAAGCAGTTTCCTCAGGTCTTCACTGTGAGGAAGAACCTGTGAGCATCAGATGGAGAAAGCCAAATGTTCCTGTTTAGGGGGGGGGGGGCATCAGATCAGATCATGTGTTATCTGCTCACATGTCCCGCATCAGAGCGGCTTCAACTTGGGTTTGAACATGAAAACAAAACACACCATGACATGCCATTTCCTAATAATAATTACCCATCATTATATTTGCTTAATTTTTCGTAACCCCCCACACAGGGGTACAAATCATTGAAAAAAACCATATATGTTCAAATGAATCATTTGAAGTCTGTGCAAATGGACAGTTTTCTGTAGCACATGTGTTATTTGGCATTGGCTGCGGAGCTATTGTTACTGATGAAATAACAGTGTCCAGTGTGTACACAGTGTGTACACAGTGCACAGTGTGTACACAGTGATAAGGTGTACTGTACTGTTGGACTGCTCTCTGGAAACAGTCAGAAAGCACTTTAGCAGGTACACACAGGAGAGCTTCATCTCTTCTTAGGCAAAGGTTTTCCACATGCATTTAGCTTTTTCATTGACTTCAACATTAAGGTGGAATCCACTACCCGGTTTCCTTTGTCAGACTAAAGGAGAATATGAATGACTCACTCAAATCTGTGTGTTAAATACTGAGCTGTTGTCAGCACGGGTTAGCCCAGCGTAGCAAAAGTGCTGCCTGCCTTCTTACTTTTTTTTATTTCAAATGTTGTTGTTTTTTGAAGAGGTTCAATAATACAGGGTTAGAATTGGGTCTTCATTCATTTTCATTTATTTCTAACCATCCCCGACCCCCAAACATAACACATTGATTCCATCTTAAAAAGCAAGTAAAGAGAGATGAGATGAGGTTTTGAAGCCAAATAGAGGACAATGGGGGCTTAGGGGGGTCCGATCTAGTGGCCGAGCTATTAGAGGTGTAAACGCCACTATATCACGTGGTTTGGAAAGGTGCAACCCCAAACAGTATATAAGTGCATGCTGCCTTCTTACTAAGTTCCAAAGCTTGACTAAATGCACAGACAAGAGATCAGTGTTCATATCCTCTTATCGCTCACTGTGTTTCCAACTGCGACTTTATTTGCTTTGTCTGTGTGTTGCATTCAAACTGATGGCACATGGTGGATCACCTGTCTGCCTACACATGGTGGATCACCTGTCTGCCTACACATGGTGGATCACCTGTCTGCCTACACATGGTGGATCACCTGTCTGCCTACACATGGTGGATCACCTGTCTGCCTACACATGGTGGATCACCTGTCTGCCTACACATGGTGGATCACCTGTCTGCCTACACATGGTGGATCACCTGTCTGCCTACACATTGCCTGAGTGGAGAAAACATTTTAGTATGCATGTTCCAATGCTTCAATTTATCTTTAATGATGACTTAGTAATTTAATGCTTTGATACATTCAAAATAAGCAGTTTAACAAATTGTGAGTAGCTTCTGTTCAACTGCTTATTTTGAAGGGAAGCAGTCTGCATATCAATCAGTTAGAAAGGCCTGCATGTGAAATGAGAACACTTAGAAATGATGTTTAGCATTACCATGATTTAGTCTCACTCTTGCAGACTGTGGGTTTGAGAGGCATGTTGGAGGGAGTAATGTGGGAGATGCACTTATGGATTACAGGCTCATTGTTGCTGTCATTCCTGCTTCAAATGGAATGTTGATGGGAAGGATGCTTCTGTAATCAGGTTCACATTCTCCTTTTGATTCACTACATTTTCTCCTATCTCAGGGTCTGGCAGACATGAAGACCCTCTGCGTTGAGCTGGGAGGATCTGCAGCCGTGGCCCCGTGTTCAGCGTGAGCTCCGCAGCGATGCCTGCCCCCCCCGGGGAGGAATGGTTCACTCCACTGCTGCTCCCCCCCCAGAGGCCGGGGACATTACCAGTCTCTGCTGCCTGGTTACGGGGCTGCTGAAGCTCCCGGAGAGCACGTCGATGGAGAACGTCTCCATGGGCTCCCGCTCCCCCCCCGCCCCGCTCACACCCACAGCGGGAGCCCCGGAGAGCCTGCAGGGCGTGGGCCTCCCTCTGCAGGTGTTCTTCTGCCTGGTCATGGCGGCCATCCTGCTGCTGGCCCTGCTGGGGAACGTGGTGGTGTGCCTGATGGTGTACCAGAGGTCGGCCATGCGCTCTGCCATCAACATCCTGCTGGCCAGCTTGGCCTTCGCCGACATGATGCTGGCCATCCTCAACATGCCCTTCACTCTGGTTACCGTGGTGACCACCCAGTGGATTTTCGGGGACGTTTTCTGTCGAGTGTCCGCCATGCTCTTCTGGTTCTTTGTGATGGAGGGCGTGGCTATACTGCTTATAATAAGCATAGACAGGTTTCTAATTATTGTCCAGAAGCAGGATAAGCTGAGCCCTCAGAGAGCCAAGGTGCTCATCGTGGTCACATGGGGGCTCTCCTTCATCGTCGCCTTCCCCCTGGCGGTCGGTTCCCCTCCCCTACACGTCCCCCCCAGGGCCCCTCAGTGTGTGTTTGGCTACAGCGTGGAGCCTGGGTACCTCACCTACGTGCTGATCCTGATGCTGGTCTTCTTCTTCCTGCCTTTCATGGTCATGCTGTACACATTCATGGGGATCCTGAACACCATCCGCCACAACGCCATCCGCATCCACAGCCACCCGGACAGCATCTGCCTGAGCCAGGCCAGCAAACTGGGCCTGCTGAGCCTGCAGAGGCCCTTCCAGATGAACATCGACATAAGCTTCAAGACGCGTGCCTTCACCACCATCCTCATCCTGTTCTCTGTGTTCACTGTGTGCTGGGCCCCCTTCACTGCCTACAGTCTGGTAGCTACCTTCAGCGATGGCTTCTACCACAAAGACAGCTTCTTTCAAATCAGCACATGGGTCCTGTGGTTGTGCTACCTCAAGTCAGCCCTCAACCCTCTTATTTACTACTGGCGGATCAAGAAGTTCCGTGACGCCTGCCTGGATCTGATGCCCAAGTACTTCAAGTTTCTTCCTCAGCTGCCAGGCAACACCAAGAGGAGGATCCAGCCCAGCGCCGTGTACGTGTGCGGAGAGCATCGCGCCGTGGTCTGAAGGAAACCATCACACATCTTTACACACTGTAGCGTGTTCTGTTTGGAGGTTCACTTCTCTTACCCCCAGTTTCCACCGGGTCCGTCTGCGCCGCGCTGCGCCGTGTTACGGTTGCGCCGCGGCGGTCGTAAGGATCGCGGCCACTCTAGTCAATGGGTGCTATTCCACCACACGTGCCGCGTTACGGCTCAGACGCGTCCCAGAAGCGGCTCGGCGCAGCGCTTCTCTAAAATTAGGATGAATCCTATTTTTGCCGCGGCACAGCCGTAACGTAAGGTCGGGCAGGCAGCCCCCCCTCGCAGGAAGTGGAAAGGTGAGCATCCGGGCCAGGCCCATCCCCCACATATACTAATTTAGCAGACCCCCCCTCCTTCATCACAACACCTCCACTACGATACGCACAATGGACGACGAGGTTTTCATCATGGAAGTGGACTGTTACAATTATTATTAACTGTGTCTGTAGACTACAACACAACAAAATAGGAAATTTATAACAACAATAAACACAATTTAAACAGACACAAAAATAAAACATTTAACTACGTAGCCTACTTACTTTCTTGTAGAAGTACAAATGTCCAGGATGCCCGAATCAATAACAAAACTGCGAGCCTGCACGCACGACGCTACGCTTCTGAAATGCTTCTGGGACGCGTCCGGTGGGTTATGGCGCTAGAGGAGGTCGGACCAAAACCGCGGCGCAGACGGACCCAGTGGAAACTGGGGGTTAGCATGGGGCAGAATGCTCTGTTTGTGATCTGAAAATGAAAAGCAATCCAGGAGGAGTGTTTGTTTTAAGGGTTATCAGAAACATGTCTGCTGTGGTTTATGATATAAAGAGTTTTTTACTGGAAGAGGGCAGAGTTGTATTTAAAAGATTCTGATACATTTCTGAAGTTTCAGCGCTGAAACAACAATATGTTCTTACCCGGAAGAAAATAAATATACTATTTATATAACACCTTTTTTTTTATTTGATCAGTGAAGCCAAACTCCTCAGATTTGACATAACTGTGTAAGGTTGGTAGAAAGCCATAATATTAACTTTAAATAAAAATATATTAGGTTCAACTTAATATGATTGCTTTCAACTAACCTAATACAGTTATGTGACATTTTTGTACATAATACCTTTAATTAAAGTCAACGGACACATCTGTCTTTTATTTGTTAACTGTAGACAAACAACCATATATGTCATAGTAGAGATGGACACGTATGGCCTGTTACCAATTACAGAGACATTATTTTTTATTCAATTCCAACATGTTATATTCGGCCTTAACGTTCATCATCATACACCATTTTTGCCCAAAGAATTGACAAAATTATTATCAACTATCCAATTACTGTTTAAATATTTGATGGCATCTTTTGATACTTGTCGGGTTTTAATACTTGGTTTTCCAGACACATTGCCCTCGGCACAGAGGTAGACTGTGTGTAGGGCTGTGGAGCACAATGCAGCGCAGCTAAAGAGTTCTGCTGGACCCACTTCCTGTCGCTCTGATGCTGCCTCACCAAACACATTGGTCTCTGAGGGGATGCTATGTCATTCTGGGTGACAAAAGGAACATTTGAAATGAAGTAGAGGACTGAAGGAAAATAATGAAACTCTTGGATGCACTGAATTGCACATACTGTGTTAAAATACAGATGGTAAATTTGTGTTTTATGATTGTTCTGAGAAGACAGGCGCTGCTGTGTTTGACTTGACCGCAAGTCTTTTCTTGTCACTTGAATCACGACTCATGGAGAGCACAGTGTGTGTTTAGCTGTGTAGAAACAGTTTTATGAGGCATGTAAATGAAAGCTTAATTTGACATTGAATATGGTCAGAAGGTGGCCATGACACATTTGGACGTGTGTATTTCTATCTAAATGTTTTTGATGTGCCTATTGATTAGTCCATTTGCCAGTCAGAATGCTGCTATATCTGGTGACAATGTGCAATTTCAGTGTACTGTTGAATGTAATAAAGAAATAGACATTTCTTACCTTGGTAAACTGTGTGAAGCTGTTTGTTTGTGTCTGCTTTTGTCACTTGTTGAGCTCATACACAGGAGACAGTGTCCCCTATAGTCTCGTCTCCAGCTGATAGAATCTTATAGAGAGGCGAAGTCACGCCCATCTACTTCCGGTCCATGGGACCTTATTTCGGAAAAATTATGGATTGAAGTCAATGGAGAGAGAACTTATCTTTCCATCCCGTTTGAATTGTGCCACGAATTACACATGATGTTTGAATTGTGCCACGAATTACACATGATGTTTGTCAATCTTAAAAAAATCATTTCCATGTCAAAAAAGTCACAGTTTGTCGTAAAACTGTTGAAATATAAGACTATGAAAAATACGCAACTAGAAAGACTACAAATCCCAGACGCGTAAGTGATGTCATAACTGATGTCACAATTGTTTTCCTCCACCAAATAAGAGATAGCTAAAATAAGATAACTTTAACAAGATGCCTGTGTTCTTAGTACCAGGTTGTTATCATACCAGCAATGGGTCTTGCTCATTCTTTCGCTTCCAGTCTGATCAAAGGACCAGGAGTGGCTGGATCAAGTTAGCTATTCTTTCACACACACATACGGGTATTGGGCCGAGGGCGACACCGTACTTCCGGTATCCGCCATTTCATGCGAGGTGCAAGCAGAATATCATAGTCTATTGCCTTAATCAATATCTAGTCAACTCTAAAATACCACATATATGCAATGGCATGATAATATTATTGTGACACCTGGTGTTTCCAGAAATTAGACGTAGATGCAGCCAAAATCGACGAAGGCCACTTTCGAGGGTCGTTTTTCCATACAACTGCAGGCAGTCTGTAAGGGCAATCCGACAACCCACACAGCTCTAGTTTACGCTGGTAACGACCTAGAGCACACCCTTTAAGTCCAGAGATGTAATCCGAAGACATGCAGCGATTTCTTCGGTCGTTAATTCAGAAAAAAAACCTAGTTTTTGCCTGGCTACGTTAGCTAGCTGTTTATATTTGCACCTCCAGGATATTTGCACCTCCAGGAAAATGGCGTATTTGTGTATATATATATATATGGCACGCGTTGCATTGTGGGTAGCTCGTGACGTCACTGTGTGTGAAATAATCTAGCTAGTAGCAAGCACGTTAGTTAGCATTACAGTCATTTTTATTAGACTTAACATGAAGTAACATCAAGTAACCCAAAATGTTAAACAGTAAGAGTAGTAGTCATATTTCATGAACCCTTTGAAGAGTACTGTCACACCGGTGTGATCATTCTATAATACACCATTTAAGCCCGGGGGAGAAATGCTAACGCTACATTAGCATCGGCGATCTTTTCTACTTCATGCTATCTGCACAAATGGTTGACATTAAACATTAAAATGATCAGGCAGTTCAGAGAGAATCAAAGGAAGGCAGGCATGTAGGCAGCTTTGCATGACATTCTTCTGGACGTGTTGATAGTGAGGGTAGTCAATCCCTTTAAGACAGTAGTGACAGCCGTGTTGTGCGAGTCTGCGAGACCAGGGCTGCAGTCGAATAGTCCAAAAATCAGCTCCTAAATTCTAACCCTATCGTCTATTCCTTGTCCTCTGAGTGAAACGTCACGGGGTTAAGGGATAGTCGATAGGAGAATTCAAAACGACTTAGGAGAAGAGACTGCGGTGCTTTAGAGAATCCGACTGCACTTTCATTATCCGACCAGGGTTGCCAACTTTGGGTACCTGGCTGGAGTGAGATTTTGATATCATGGGTTTAATTACACATATGCGCACTAAATGACTGCTATCGTGTCAGCAGCGGGACCTTAGCATATATATAGGATATATATACAATATATACAAATACACAATATTGGACAGACTATAAAGGGCACAAAGTTTCATTCACTAATGAAAGTCAAACACATGTTTGTTTCCACTGTTTTATTGTGTGCCTGATAAGCAATTAATTGACTTATCGTACGATAAATAAAAATGAACTCGATAAATTGCCATTTACATGAGGATGTGACTAGCAGTTTGAAAGGATGTACTTGAATTATTATTATATATTATCATTATGTCAGGGGTCTAAAATGGTCATACAACAATATTATCGTTTATCGCAATAATTTCCGGGAAAATGTATCCAACAAAATTAATTATCGTGAGAGGCCTATACATGAAACACACACACACAAACAAAACTACAGACTTACTCCAAACTGCCAAATATGTTAATTAACACACTCTATTTTGGCCTAGTAGAACAATAAGCAGCAGACTTTTACTTTTTTATAATTTCTACTGGATCTTAGATCTGCGCTTGCGCAATACGGGTCGGCAGTTGCGAGAGAGTATTTTTGTTGGGTAATCTATGGTAGGGCTAACCCATACAGTGGTGGGGCTCAAGTCAGTAGGCCTATTTGCAATGTAGTTACATACACGCTCCCCTTGACAGTGAAACGCCACGCGTGAGGTTTAGATTATTTCCCTGTCTCAATCCAAATTGAACTTTATGAAATAAAAAGGCACATTTGTCTTGTAGTAAATAAAAAGGGCGACCTGGAGCCAATCCTGCAATTTCCCCACAGGTGAAAGAGTTGACATGCTGAAAACCCAACCCCTGCAGGGGGCAGCGGTGCCGGATTCATTTCAGAAGTGGGGGGGGGGCAAAAAGTGCGTGTGTATGTGACATAGCCTACTTGCCAACCCTCCCGATTTTCGCGGGAGACTCCCGTTTTCCTCCCGGGGTCATATTTATCACGCATTTCTCCCGATTTCTGACTAAATCTGATTTGTTTCATTCTAACATAACGCACCAAATGTTACTGTTTCCACTCGGACTTCAATACAGCTACACCATTGTTTGGTTTCCATGGTAACGTGTCTCTTTAGTAGCGCGAGCAAATGAAAGTCTGAGAGGGTCTTCAGGAGGAAGATATATTCAGAGAAAACAGAACAAGAATGGACAACTCAACCCTCTGCTCACTCCTTTCCTGTACATTAAACTATACAGACCAGCCCACACATATGACAGCGCAGTTGCTCATTCCATCTCTTCTTTTTTCCTGCTACGCTCTTGTTTGACAAGCTGAATGTTGACTGGTGTTTGACTGAAGTAAGCTCTGTGAAAAGTTCCAGTTATTAACTCGGTATTTACAAAGCTGTCATCTCCACATTTGGAGAAAGTTACAAGCCGGT